TTCAAATCGTTGAGTTTGACTTCAAACCTCCCAGTGCATCATCTTCATGTTGCTTTGTCGTTAGCCTCTTTTCTACCAAGGTAAACGAGTACTTTCTACGACGCCGAAAGTTGAAGGTCTGCAGGGATGATGATGAGCTGTATTTCTCCACCCGTGACTGAGGGCTGGCCTGGGCTGGCCAAAGCATCACCTTAGATGAGCAAACCAAAAGCCGGAAAAAATTAAAGGTTGCAGAGGTGCACATATCGATCGCGCGCCCGAATGGCCCCAATGTTGCAACTTCAGTAAGGTCTTTTATATTTTAAATGGAAAAGCTTGGGGATGCCAGGATGGCCTGCACCAATACGCGCTATACCGCCGCTTGGATTGGCTTTCATCCTCAAGATACGCCCAGCCAGACAATGTATAAAGCACTGCGATAGCCGTCCTTCCTTACCGCGTGAGATTAGAGAGACTCAGAGCCATCCAGCATTCATTCCGGGAAGCAGCCAGCCGCCCATCGCGGTCTGCACGAGCAGCACGACCCTGATGTGTGAGAATTGCCGTCTGCTGACAAAATCACCAGCTTCAACTTCCCAGCAAACCAGAATGCTGAATGGACCCTAAGCGACCTCGACCATGAGCCCTGCAAGGCCACAGAAATGATGATGTGAAATGCATATATGCGAGGCCAGGCATGAGAAAAACCTGACAGCTTGTGGCTCACACCCCGATGACCTTTCCCAACTTTCATAGCTTTTGATACAATTGCGCAATTCTTAAACCGGGAAGTTTCCAAACTCTGTTGGTAATGAACAGTTGTTATTGAAGTCTCAATTGGCCTTCAAGTCCATAACAACCAACAATCCTTCGGTGCCCACTGGGAGTGCCGGAAGCCGTCACTCCTCCCGGCCTTCACTCACAAGGCTACTATTGTGCTCCACAAGGGCTCTAAAGATTCCTTTGGGGCACGCCACGACCTGGCAAGACGGTCTACAAATTACGGTGGATTATATCTATTGCGCACTCACTTTACCCTCCGCCCCTCTCGACCCATTATTATTACTGGCTCAGTCCAACAACACTAGTTTGCTTTTCTTGATTTATTCACTTTCTACACAGTCAGAGACTTCCGTATTTAAGTTACCGTTAGCATTATAATTGCGAGTTTACCGGGCCATCCTCATCGTTCCGACTTCACTAGCACCAACGCACTAGTTCGTCAGCCGGCCTAACGATTCTTTTTTATCCGTTTTGGTGGTTTCCTGACCCGACTGTGCCGTTGTCTTTAGATTTGTCAGCGTCGGCCTCATAATCACCCAACCGAACAGCTCGCCGTGGCACGAGTACAGGCTCACGAAAACTATCCCTAAGCTCCGAAAGTCTCCTGCCTGCATAACTCGCAGAATATTTTTTTAAGAAACACACGCACGGCTACTCACATATGCTGAGACCTGCTGACTTACACTAAGCAAATTGCATTAAGTCTTCAGAGGCTGAGCAGGGAGTCCTTCTTTTGAGGATTCAACATCCAATCTTACTATCCGTTTCTTTCTTGCGAGTCCTTGTCGATTAATATTTTAAGAGGTGCACCCAGGCTGCCCTCAAGATTTTTCCACATCTGTTTTTTCATTTCTTTTCATCTCGCTTTCTCCTCACCTTCCTCCCCATCATAAGTCATCACCAATACCTCCCATAGTAGCTCCTCCTGTATCACATTTCCATTTCAATCCGTTCCCAAATCCTTGTATCCAGTTCCGCAAGTGGGTCAATCACACAATCAGTCTTCCCCCAATTTTGTATGTTGCTTTGAATCTCCTCATCCCACCTCCATCGGCTTCAGTTCTCATAGAGTAATCGAGTGGCAGCTTACTGAAATACCTTCTTGCGCCACTAACTTTATTCT